AAACTAAAAAATAGAATTTCATAATCAACCCTTCTCTTTTTTTTTTTTTAATTGTGAAGTTGTGATTTTTTTTCTGCCATAATAATTTCTTGTCTTTTTTATTTAAATTTAGAATCCTACAATAACTAAAACTGCATTAAAAAAGAAACTATTAACTAAATAAACTAGAAAAAAACGTTAGTTTACCGTTACAAATACGGTTCATACACTAATATTTTACTATTCATAGGTTTTTTATACTTTGGTCCCTTATATTTGATAACGAATATTTCGATCCACATCTTCATTTATTCATTCATTTTGGTCTTTGGATGAGAAAGAAGGGAGAGGGGAAGAGAGAGATCGCCGACTAAGCTTATTTAGGTCACTTTGACCGAAAATCCACTAGATTTTTTTATCTTTGCGAGATGAGTTTGTCTATGGTTGTTTCAAGCCATTAAACAATTAGAGGAGGTAGATCGGAGCCAAAAAAGGAAATAATGTTCCGATTTGATTGTGTAATTTTTTTTATTTTTGTGTGCATTAAAATGATTTTTAAGATTTTACATATGTTTATTAGCTTTATTTCAATCATTTAGAGGCATTTTGGGAAAAAAAACTATGTCGGAATTTAGTTTCTAAGGGTCCGAAACTTGATCTTTGATTTTTTGACAAAGATCTCGACGACCTCAATTCGTCGAATGTTGTAGAATGTTTTTTTTTTTTTTGGGTCTTGAGCAGCAGCCCGTGCCTAACACGGAGGCCCGAGCCGCTCAACCGGACCTAATAGGCGAGCCCGACCAACCCTTGGCACGTAGGCCTCGTGCGGGGCTTTTTTTTCCCTTCTTCTTCTCCCGTTTCGGCTTAGGAAATTGACTTTTATTTTGGTCCCTTCTTTCTATTTTTTTTTTATTTTGGTCATTAAACTTTTCTTGTCTTTGATTTTTATCTCTACCGTAAATGTTAAAATTTTATTATATGTGATTTTTATCCTTATAATAAAATTTTTTTTAACTTTTAGTAAAAAATTATATTCTTTTTTTGTTTCTATTTTTTAATATGTTTTTATTTTATTTATTAAATTTTTCTCATATTTGATTTTTATCCTTGCTATAATGAAACTAAATAAAGTTTACTATCCTAGGGTTTTTTTTTTCCTTTTACTAAAATTTTCTTTCTATTCTAATTTCTGGTTTGTGTGTTTTTCTTTGTTTTCGTCATTAAAGTTTTCTATTCTAATTTCCTTTTACTCAAAACTATTTTTTACTTTTAGTAAAACTTTTTGTTATATTTTGGTTTTTGTTTTATGATCTTTCATTTATTTTGATCATTAAACTTTTCTTATAGTTAATTATTATTTATTCTACATTAAAATTAAATACATTTAACTACGCTATGTTTTTTTTTTAGTGAAAAAATTTTCTTTTTTGATTCTTATTTTATTAATTTTTTTATTTTAGTCATTAAAATTCTATAATATTTACTTTTTAAAAAATAGATTGATTTTTTTCAATATTTATACAAAACTTCTGGTGAAAATATCAATAATTGAAATTTTTTTAGATGAAAAGTGATAGCTGAAAATTATAAGATAAACTAAATATTAAAAAAAAAAAGATTCAGGAGAGGTCAAATCTAAAAATAAAAGTTTAAAAAATTGATTTTTAAATGAACTAAAATTCAAAAGAGATTTATTCCATTTAGCCGAGACAGAAGCACATGTCCATCCTGTTCTTCTAATTTGTATTCATGGTAAACATGTCCTTGCCAATCCTTTCTTAAGTTTTTCAGTCTCAGTGATTTTAAGGAGGAAAAAAACCAAAAAAATAACAATAAAACAACACTGAAACACTCAAATAAAAGATTTACTAATTAGACACTCAAACAAAAAAGAAAAAAATAGACATTAAATTGCATTTTTTTTTCAAAAGCTTGGCTACATTAATTTTTAGCAATACAAAAGGTAAGATTCAATATAATATTTAATTAAAAAATATTAAGAGAATACCATTAGAATTTATCATGCATGAAAGATGATTTAATTATTTTAATTTTTTACATGCATAATATTAACTTTGAATTTTTCTTATACAACATTAATTTCTACATATAAACAGCTAGGTTTTAAAAAACAAGAATCGTATGTTTGATATATCGAAAACTACGTTATAAAATAAAATAAGAAAATACAGGAAATAAAATGTTCATGAGTGGGTCACATGCAACGCACCCATGTACGTGTTAAAAAGAAAAAGAAAAAGAAAAAAGAAGAAGAAATTAGATGTTCATTAGGGTATAATAGAGTAAGCTCATTTTGTTTCCAAATTGAAGTGACATCAAGTGGGCAATTGGCCAGACATGGAAGGCTAAGTGGGTTAAATTTTCTTCTAATTTTAGTACATTTGAAAATTAATCTTATAAATTTTTAATTTCGGACCTGACATTTTTAAAATTTATTGTTTTAAAGATTTAGTCTATCTTTTAATTTTTTATAAAAAATAATAATCATATAAATATTCTCATCATATAAATCATTTAGTAAGATTTATCTATGAAAAATTGAAGCAAAATTAGGAGAGAGAGTTTTGTTTAAAGAAAATGACGGAACAAAGAATATTGAAGTTTTGACTGCCAAATCAACCAAAGTCACATACAAATAATTTTTTTGAGTTATTTTTTGTTTGAATTTAGTTTATGTTCTTGATTCACCCTAGATTCTTTATCTTAAAAGCTAGTTGGGGTTTCGTTGTCTTGATTGTGAACTAAATTTATTAGCTAAGGCTATGGTTGAGACACCCAAAAATCATGTAAATTTCATTGATTTTATGATTTTCAAGACTTGGTTATTTTTCATGATGAGTAAGTGTTGCCGTTTTTAATGTTTTTGAAAGATTGATCTCCTTTTGAATGAATTGAAGTGAATATAGATCGAGTGGTAATTTTATGTAAATATTTTTGTAATGCATACCATGAATTTGAATGTAATATAAAAATATGTAAATTCATTTCATGCAATAGCGATGAGTAGAATTAAAAGTTTTTTGCTTAAACTAGAGTATTTTATAAAACTTCATGCGGTTTTATCTATTTAAATTCTCCGTTTTGATTGATGCCAAATCTTGTCTTCTTCTAATTAGATTTTTACATTATATGAAGAATTAATGGCATGTTTTTTCTTAATATCAAAATCAAATATATTCATTATTTAAGGTTAAAAATGAAAACACACATGATATTAAATAGTACAAAATATATATTAAATACAAATTTTTTAAAATTAATGTTGATTCACTTAGATTTTTAAAATTTATTAAAATATTACAACTGATCTTATAAAGTTACCGTGACGATGGGTGAATAATTATGCTAACGAAACAAACTAAACGCGGACAAGCTTTCTTCATTCAAAATAAGCTTTTCTGAAGTTTAAGCAACTTATAAGGGCCTTTTAGACATTTCGATTTGTTTTTAATTGTTTTAATTTTTCTTTTCCATTTTAGTCCCTACATGTAATTTGAAAAGAGAGAAAAGCTGCTGAAAATCCTCATTCGTAGATAGTTAAGGCAATCCTAGGATGTATCGTGATAACGTGAGTTGATTGATATGCATGAAAACCTCCTTTGTAACCGAAAAATCTAGATCAAACTACAAATTCAATGACTCTTGAGTTTTTGATAGGAATTTTGGAGTGGATTAAATAGACTTTGAAGGATATGATGAGTTTCATGAGACATGGATCACACGGAGATAAAACTATTTTATAAAACTTCATGCGGTTTTATCTATGGAAATCTACGTAGAGATATACTAGGTTGATCGGTGAAAGTAATTTTGGTTGTCAATACTAGATCACACGGATCAAGGAGCAAACAGATGCTAATAAAACACAAGTCAACGAGGCTTGAAAGACAGGTGAGTCAAAGTTCAAACTATTAAAGTTTTAAATGTTGTTTCCCGTGTGAGTGAAAGATCTTTAAGAAAAGGAGAATTTAAAAGTTTTCCCTAGATGTAAGAGAGAGTTAAAAGCTCTACGTGGTGAGGTAAAAATTTATAAAAAATTAAAGATAACTATTGACAGATTGCACCATATCATCCATGTTTAAACGATCACATCTGAATATAACAAAGTTATAAAATTTTTTTTATTTAAACTATTTTAATTTGTTAATAAAAATTAAAAAAATAATAATAATTATGCTTTTTTTTTTTTTTAAAGAACTCAGCTCTAGCCCTACTAAGCTACTCTTCTTGGTGTGTTGTAAAAACAAAGTATGAACAGTAATTTTGTTTGGACGAAACTTATCATTGATGTAATCTATTTTGTGTAGTTTGGATTTATATTTAAAAAAAACATGAATTAAAATATAATAAAATTAGATACATACTTAATTGATTTTAGAAAAAAAATAGCATGTAAAGCTTATGTTTTATGATTAGCAATTTTTATGGTAATTTTCAAGTATTTTTTTAAGTTTTAGCTTCAAATTACAAAATTTTTTTTGCATAATTAGCAACTCAGAGGTAAAGAAATGCTCTAGTGAAGACTAAATTTAGTACTTTCTCTGTTTTAAGTGTTTTGCTATTTATTTTTATTTGTTTCAAAATAATTGTTTGATGAAAATATTTAACTCCTGAATTTAATATAATATTTTTAATTACTTGCAATTAAAAATAATGTTTTTGAAAAAACAGATAAAAATAATGACATGTTATATCAATTAATTGCATTTTTTATCAATTTTTTGTTTTTTTTTTGTTTTTTAGAGAGGAAGTACTTATTACTCGATGGTGGCCGCCCATACCGCCTGCGATGGTGACAGGTGTATGATAACTGCCACGTAGACTCCTCGTCGCTTAACAGAGAAGGTTTTTAATGGAGGGCAAAAATCGTCATCTCAATAGGAAATAACCATTCCAGATCTCCGTCTCCCTGTTTTTCAGGTTGTTTCAACTTTCACTCTTTTGAAAGGAAAGGAAGAGGAAACAATTCCAGAGAAGGGAACTAGAGAGATAGAGATAGAATGGGGCTGCTTTCTAACAGGTTTGTTTGATCCACTCTTCTGTTTTTTTTTTCCGTTTCTATGTTATTTACAAAATTTCTTATCTACATATATTGGGTTAAAAAAAACTATTACAGGATTAGTAAGGACAGCCTGAAACCAGGAGATCATATATATTCATGGAGGAATGCTTACATCTACGCCCATCACGGTTCCCCCTTCACCTCTTCCTATCTTGTTGCTTTTTTATGTGGGTTTTTTTTTCTGTGTTGCGATTGGGATTGGGTTTAGCTTTCCTTTGGGACTATCATTTCTTTTCCCTTGTTTTGGTAAAAAAATCTTGTCAATGCATTGCAATTGGTTGTTTCTTTCTCATGCGTCGGTGACAAAACTAGCAGCGGATAATCAGTTCCGATTTTTCAAATTTAGCCGCAAAATGAACAATGTAGTTGTAGTTCTCGTGAATTTTTATAGCAGCATCTGCTGATAGCTAATCAAGAATATATGTACATAAGGAACCAAAACGATTGATGCGGAAACGGGTTTAAGCTTGATTGGAATTGGCTTAAGATTGTTGTCGCAATTAACGTATAAGATGAATTACTAGCGTTTTATCTGTTTTTATTCAATATTCTTCTTTGTTCTTATCCAAAATGCTTTTAAGTACTGTAGAAGTTATGACATGAGAAAGTGCAAGCATTGTTTGAAGGCAGTATGCTGATTGCTTATCTGCCATTACATGCTATGCCATGGACAAACTTCCCTTATCTTTAGTATATTTGAAAATCAGTTCTGAACTTTTATTTGTATTTTGAATTCTTTAAACTTTTTTTTTTTTGAAAAGATTTAGTCCATCCTTTAGTTTTCTGTCATTTATCTCAAAAGAATAACAATCATGTAAATAACTTCATAATGAAAATCACTCAGTGAGATTTATCTAGAGTTCTCCGAAAAATTTGGAATAATTTGGAATTATTATTCTTATTATTATTTTATATATTTTTAAACAACCCGACCTTAACAAATTCTGGGATTTTTCTAGAAAATGAATTGGATTTTTTTCCAACGTGTGGGCAAAACTTCAGATTAAAATACCAAGAATTGAATTTTTTAGAGAGGAGGGGTGATAGTTGAAAATCATAAGATGGACTAAATCTAAAAAAAATAATAAAGTTCAGAGAGCTAGAGAGGTACAAACACATTAAAAATTCAGGGACTGATTTTCAATTAAAGTAAAGTTTAGGAGAGGTTTGGCCTTTTAGTCCTTGATTAACCTATATTGATATAGAATTTTCTAGCGTGGGATGACTGCATTGCATAACCAAAAGCAAAATAAAATAGCGGACTGCAAGCTGGTATTTTTATGCAAATCTTGTTGGCTAGTGTTAGCATCCATTTCGATTGCTATGTAATCTTTGCTTGTGGTCACAGCATGAGCTGTTGTGCTTCTCTTGTTTCCTTACATCCTACTCAACTTGGGGAGAATACAGGCAGAGTATCTTTGTGGGGACTGAATTTGTAGCCAGTTGGTTGAGATCAAGAACTGTTGCATGGGTGGTTTGGATAGGAAATCACTAAATGTGATACTGTAGAATTTGTTCTGTTGAATGTTATACTCATATGTAGTAATCTAGAAATGTCTTCTTTTGTGAAGTATTTTGCTAGTATGCAGAGAAGTAGAGCTCAGTTCTAGCAGATATCGTGTTTCTAAAATTGCTTACATCTGCCTTTCGTCATCCACGAGCTCATACTTTTTCTGTCATGTTCAGCAACTGCAATTTGATTCCATGATAAAGAGCGTCGATGCTCTTAAAATGATATCATTCTATCATTAGGGTTTTTCTAATTATTTTCCTTGTTCTTTTTTAGGAATCTACATTGGGGAGGATAAAGTAGTTCATTTTACCAGGCGCGGTCAAGAAGTAGGAACAGGGACCATGCTAGATATCCTCTTGTTGAGCTCAGGGCCAGCCCGCTCTACTGTTCCTTGTCCCAACTGCACTATGCCGGAAGACAGTCATGGGGTTGTCCTATCATGCTTGAACTGCTTCCTTGCTGGTGGTATCTTGTATCGGTTTGAGTATGCTGTCAGCCCTGCTCTCTTTCTTGCAAAAGCGCGTGGTGGAACTTGTACTCTTGCTGTATCAGACCCAAATAACGTTGTGGTACATCGAGCAAAGTACCTTCTTGAAAATGGCTTTGGTTGTTATAATGTATTCAAGAACAATTGTGAAGATTTTGCTATTTATTGCAAAACTGGGCTTCTTGTTGTGGATCAAGGAACAATGGGACAGAGCGGCCAAGCAGCATCCATCATAGGGGGCCTCTTGCAGCCGTTTTGTCTACGCCAATGCGTCTTGTGAGCACCAATATATATGGGATGGCAGCTACAGCCGTTGGGGTTTATTGTGCTAGCAGATATGCTGCTGATATTGGCATGAGGAGGGATGTAGTGAAGGTGTCAGTAGAGGATTTGACAAGGAGGCTTGCAACAGGCCTGCTCCAGGTTATTGAACCCCAAATTTCAGCTACACCAATCCAAGCGATTCAATAGCTCGCCTCCTAGTAAGCATATGAAAGTTTTCTTTATTCTTGATCTGGTCAATAAATGGTTTGGGACTATGGATCCCTCTACATGATATAATAGCTTCTTTTAAGCGTGAAATTGCTGTAACATTGACAATTTGTTCTATGGGAACTGCTGATTTCGAAACATCTCTCTAGTGCTTCATTAAGTCGGCTTATGCATGCTCTTGTATGTTGTAATATAGTGTTGCTGTTTTAAGATACTTATAATATGACACACGTTTTGTGCTTTCTTACACTTTCTATTCAAATGCTGGGCTCTGCATTCCTAGGAGCACAACTAAGCTGGTTCTCTTCTCAATCCATGGTTTAGTGTTCTGCTAGATACCATCCTTAGTTGTTAACACGCTACGCTGGTGTTGAACAAAAATTATCTCCCACGCTAAGGAATGAGAAATCTTCATGACTAAAGGGCAATGGATGTTATTTTGTAGGGTAAATTACGAGAAACATCCTTTAGTTAGGTGGCGGGAATACTCTGCACCTCTATTTTAAAAAAATAAAAAAATAAATACATTTTGCCTTTATGATAGCTACAATATCTTTTGGAAGCATTTAGTTAAAAATAAAAATAAAAAAAAGGTAGTTTCAAAACAATTAAATCCAACACAATATTAGAAATCTAATGCAAAACAATAAAAAAATCAATTCAAAACACTCAAATTTAATAATTAAATACTTTACATCATAATAATGACTGTAAAAACATAACACCAAAAAGAAAAGGTAAGGTGCCAATTTTGCAATTTGCAGTTAGAACACAATTTGTTGCGAATCAATTAACTTGAGTTAATGCCTAGGGGACACAGCCTATGACTTGTTTCAAAATGCCCACAGTTTGAGTTGGCAAACATGATATATACAAGACTTCAAATTTGGGTTTTTTCAAAAACATATAGTGCTACGAATAAATCTCCCATTCTAAAACACGATGCTTTCTTCTGGAGGATTGAGAGGAGGACGCTTTTACTAATTGTTTTCTCATCATAGCCACATTTTCATACATAAAATTCACTAAAACACTAAGATAAAAAGACATTGAAATAGACTGAGACAAGTCCAATTCAATCAAACTAGAAATGAAAACGAAAAACTTACATGAAATTTTGGCAGCTTAATAAGGAGAATGAGGCACAATCTTATCATTATTAGCACCATCAACAACAGCATCATTATCACCATCACAAGAGTGACCAAACACTGCTCAAAATCTAACAAAAAAAACCCATTTTCACTACCATTAGCAAATAAAGACCTCGACCCATCTTGATTAAATCCTAATTTTTAATGGTTTTGTTCGAAACAACAAATTAAAACATAAACAATCAAATTTTTCTATAAAAAAATCAACATTAAAATTTTGGGTTTTTTCTGATGTTCCAACTTTCACTTAAAAAACCTTAAAATCCTCAATTTTTTTCATGTGTTTTACTAAAAACAACCAACTAAAGGATAAACAAACAATTTCAAAACAAAAATTAAACAATTTAAAATTTATAATTTTTTGGGATTTTCAACTCCAAATGAAAAACCCTTCAAAACACTTAAAATTTTTATGAGCTTTGCTCGAGATTAGATGAAAGTAATGTTAATCCTAATGTTTTATGGATGAAATACATTTATGTTTCAAAAAATTTAAAAAATAGGTTATGCTTCACATGTTTTGTTTCAATTTTGAATCATCCTTTGATTTGTCTTCAATTCGATCATGAACAACGAAAGAAACATTTAATCAATTATAACACAAAAAAATATTTAATTTAAACAAATTTGATTGTAAATTTCAGTATTTTATTAACAAGAGAGAGAATGCAAATTGAAAATGGAATGAACTTTTTAGCTAGCATGAAGTCTAATTATATATATATATATATATATATATATATATATATATATATATATATATATATATAATAATGCTATCATTTCATAATTCATCGGACTAAAAATTCATTAAAAAAAAAGAGTACAAAATGTTATTTTTAAAAAATGAATACGCACAGCTTTTCCGTCACCTGAAAACGCATATCATTTCCACCACATAACTACAGGGAAGTTTTTGCAATTTGTCCTATTTTATATCGAATACTAAAGGAGCAAGATTGTTTTGCACCAGGATGGATCCGAGATAAAAAAAACATTATCAGAACTTATAAACGCACTTGGGAATTCTTTGTACGGTTCCCCTCTCATGCTTTGATAATTTTGTAAGTGTCGTGAAATACTGGCAAATGTTCATTGACAAGCAACAAGGATTCAAACTTCCGATCACTCCTAGCCAAACAGTTTTCATACACCTGCGGCCTGGTTTTACGAGCAACAAATGCATCATGCAGGTGCAAAATGCTTGCCCTTCACAGCCCCCACACCCAGCCCCTTTCTAAAGGGACTGACGTCTTTCACATTCTTTTTCCAGAGACAGACCAAACCGTGGCCTTGTTAACATACCAAACCAGAAAAGCAATCAATATATATTAAACGACTACTACTGTCAATACTCAGTAATCAGATGCAAAATTGAAATACCACAAGGGATACATATTACAGTCAGAAACAACACTTCAGCTCGATACATATCCCAAAGGACAAGAGAGGGATCAACTACGCTAAATATCGAAGACTCCATAAAAAGTCAGGAAAACATAAAAAGTCAAAACTTTCCTTCAAAGCCTTCATATGGAACCATGTTTTCAATTTTATTGATCTCCTAAACAAGCAGAACGGCATTTATACAACCATCATTCTCTGGGTTATTTGTTACTTGAGCATACTTCCCTGCATCAACCCCATAGAAATGCCAAGTTAGCAAAAGCAATTGAAAGAAGTGACTACAGTTGAAACAATATCTGCTGCGAAACCAAGTTTGACAGGCCCGACTTACCCCATACAACTTTACCAGCTGGTGTGACAAGACCTAATTCACTGACATTCACCTGAAATTTAGAATGATCAGAAATACCTGATCAGACATCCTAAACAAAAAATATTACTATACCATGGGCTCCCATGGAAATAAAATGGTATGTAAGAGAAAAAAGAAAGAGAAATTTACCTCAATGATAGTTCCCTTGGTTATAACACCAAGAGATGTGTACGTAGGACCATTGGGGTTTTTCTTTACTCCAATGATCTCAAGGTTAAAGGTACACTTGAGTTCAGGGTGTGTCACATGAGCCTTGGTAAATCGCAGCCCTGAAGGACGAATAAATCGCTCATACTTGGGAGGTTTTCTTGTAAAACCTGGTCCCACAAATGTGGCCTTCGTGACCATTCTCTTCCACTGCTTGGCTGCAAAAGAAAGCTAAAAACATTAGGGTGGTTCTAAGTTATCATCCCTCGGATGTTTTTACATAATAAAAAAACTCAACCTCAAATGCATGTGAAAATATTATCTTCATAACATAAGCACACAAACCAAGCCTCATAAATGGGAATAAACATGTTTATAATGTGGTTGGGACAAAAGCCAGGATTTCTTTTACTTGATTCTTCTCAATCCGTAAACCATAAGTTTATTACCCCACTTTCCTTGACTGACCACAGCTTTTATTGCATGTTAAACAAATTCAGGCATCAAATTATTTTTATCTACAAGCCAATATTTGTTAACCCACATTCCTAACTGACTATAAACTGAATTGGATGTTATCCAAATTCAGGTGCAATTGCAATATTTCTAATAAGAAGTGCTTCATGTAGAAAGGAAAAAACTTGGTAAAGTGCTTACTCTTCCGTTTGCCAGATCGAATAACTTTAAACATTTCATCCTCTGCAACAGGCCTCACCTAAAGGAAGAAAAGGACTTCCAGTGAGATACTAACAGTGATCCTAAGTATTGAGCAACAGCATAAGCAAACAATAACTCATAATGAAGAATAAGTCAGAGAAGCACATGTTGGAGATGCTAAAGGAAAAATTGAACTCCATCTTACCTTGGGTAGAGGGACCTCCCATTTTCCAGCCTTCTCTTTCCTCTTTTGCTTTATACTGTTGCTAAGAATCTACATACAACACCGTGTCACATATTTTATCTCAGAATATGTAAGAAAAGGGAGATGATTTATAGTCATATCCGTAAAAAAGTATCAAGAGCTTTACCTTTGCTCGTGCAGTGTTTTCACGATCCAACAGATAGGCAGGAACAGCTCCATCAAGAACATTATCATCCACCTTGCGCCTAGATGTTGACTCCTCGTGCATAGCCAATCTGATTACATGATACAAAGTTATCCACACGCAAAACTGTCAATAACTGCTTACTTCATGAAAGATAATATGTAAAAGTGGCTAGACAATGTCGACATCTCAATGTGTATAACTACATAGCCAGCTAATACATGGAAAACCCAAATTTACAAGCAAATATAACTACACGAATGCATTTTTTTAGCACGTACCCCAACCAAAACTTGAAAATTTTGAAACAGCAAAAGAAAGGCTAAAGAGAGAGAAGTACACTCAAGCATAGACAAAAAAGTTTTGACAAAATCTTTACAACAGATTCCCAGCTTTAACGTCAAGCTTCCCTACTGAAGGGAAAATTACAGCAAAGCTAATAGATAACCATATGTTTAGCTTCAGCACTTTAATTTTCACGTTTTGCATCATTATTTTACCATACACAGCGAACTACATAGTACAAGCATTGCAATGAGAAATGATAACAAAAATTTAAAACTTTCTCCTACTATCCCAGCTTGCAGTAAAAACCAGAGTTAGTAACTAAGAAAAACACACTCCTAGTAACTTTTTGTCATGTCCAAGGAACAAAAAAGTTATGTATATGAACAATAATTATCAACAGTTTGGATCAGTATGCGCATGATATACAGCATTAAGCAAAAATGGATAAGAAAGTGAAACAAAAGACTAACGTTTTCTTCATCAGAGCCTTCTCAGCATAATTTTTCTTCGCAATCATCTTTCCCTTAATACCAATTGCCTGTTCCCATCACATCACGAAATAAAAAATTTAAAAAAAAAATCAAAAAGTAAATCCAAGAAACAAATAAGTGTAAAAACAAAGAAGACCTTCTGGGCTCTCTCAGAATGTTTGTGGACTTCACGCGCCTCCTTCTTGCGCTTACGCTCGAAGTGGTCGAGGCGGTATCCATTCCTCTTCCTGTGCAGCTCTATGTAATCTCCTTGAGGCTACAAAAAACGAAACATACCAATCAATCAATCAAACTAAATTCTTCTTAATCAATCATTAAGACGATGAGTTTATCAGAGGCAAACCATGGTGGCTTCACTTTCGGAATCAGTTTACAGAGTTTTTCTGTTTTGTGTGTGTAAGAGAGATAGTAAGAGAGAGAAACCCTAATTTAGGGTTCTGATTATCAGGACACGGAAACGACCGATTTAGTTTTTTGGATGCGGGTTTTGAAATTGTGGATCCTTGCAAGCTGACCATTTACTGGGTCGGGTAGCTTTTGGGCTGGCAAGAAGGGAGTCTGGTTGGGTTGGGTTGGGTTGCTGCAATATTGTTGGTCTTTCATGTATATTGGGCTTTGTACTTGGTGGGCTCCTAATTTGGGTCAACAAAATTCTTCCTAGCATTCCTTTACCCAGAAGTTCTTCCTATCTTCATCTTCATCTTCATCTTCTTTTCTTTTATTTTTTAAATTTTTCAAGAAGGAAAACAAAATAAATTGAGAAGGAAGATGGAATTAAATAAAGGGTTGTTATTAATGGATTTAAAAACGTAGAGATCAAATGTTATTTTTTAAAACTAAGAGGATTAATTATTTATAGTTTTTGTTTTTTAATTTAATCTTGCCGTCCATGAACTTGTTTTCATTGCTCATTGACATCGCAGTTCGAATGCTTCCACCGGGCATCAAATGATTTTTTTTTTTTTTTTTTTGCATATTTTTACTTCTCAATATTGCCCGATCGGGCCTCGAGCCACTTTGGTACAAAACATAGACCAAAAACAGACCTGTCATGTGGGGTTGTGATGTGAGTAAGGTAGACAGCTACAGAAAAACCACAAGCCAATTTCTTAAGCAAACCCTACGAAACTCTAAATTCACATCTCATATGTTTGCTTCTGCTCTCTGCAAATGGAGGCCAGCCATGCATAATTGCATATACTATCTCTGCTAGTGGGGGTATATTCTCAATTATCAAGTTATCTGGATATGAGACCTATCCTTTGCCTCATCTATAATGAAACTAAAAGACCTGTCAGTTTTAGAAGAATCTTCTCATATTTTCAAGTTGCATTTATTCTTCATAACTATTTTTTTTAACATATATAATATTTATTCATGGCATCTTTTATTAGAAGAGGATTTAGTATACCTTCGCACTAAATGTTGCAGAAGAATTAATCTAATAGCATGGCTTCAGCTAATTTAATAAGAACTGAAAATGTATAACCATTAACTGTACCGCAGTGGTGCCAGAGAGTATTTTAATAACAACTGGTATAATTCATCAAAAAAATATAAAAAACTTGAATGGCGGGCAATTTGGCACGATTTCAATTGGTAAGGAAAAAAAGAAGAAAAGAAATAATTTAACTTGATTGCAGGAAGATGGAGCTCAATCAGCACAAGCAAGATTAACGGTGTTGCCGAAATTATTACGCTTTCGGTACTTTTGACAGCAACATTCTCGGATTCACGGGCCTTTTCTTCTTTCTACCAAGAAAAGCTAGCGCTTTGTTACCACCCAGGAATTTTTCGGTCTCGACTCCACATTGGATGTACCTTAAAAGAGGAGGCATACGAGTCAAACTTTAGACCACATGAAATTCCGAGGTTCGTATATTTAGATTCTCCTATGTTTTTTTATATTTTTTTAATAACATGAGTTATATTTCAAGTTTAACCATTGAGAGAGAAAAAAAATTGTTATTACTTTTATCATGCGAAAATTGTATTTATTTAATTCAATTTAATGATTTTGATTTAAGAAATACGAGGATCATATTACTAAAAAAAATATGAAAGAATTTCAATTTGTTAGTAAATAGTCTTTAAATTTTAAATTTGAATTCTCTCACTTAATTCTTTTATAAACGGTTGTATTAATATCCATCATCCAATTAATCTTATTCATTAAAATATTTTAAATTTAAATTTCAATATAAATATTGATGTTCTACCAACTCCCTGTGGGTGAAAAAATATAATACATGTCGACTATATTAATAACCCGTTTTAAATAATTAAGGAAGTTTTTTTTTAGGTATAACCTTACACATATTTGTACAACTCTCTTACGATTTCGTTGCCTTTAACAATTTTTAGGTCTTTTAGGTCAAGCTTTTTACGGACTAATTTTTTTTTCCTTACATAAGTAATCTTAATTTAACAGCTACGTATTCAGTTAATTTTTCTAACAAAACAAAATTCCAGTTATAATGATTTTAAGTTTTTTTTAATAATTATATAATGGATGAAATTATTTCTAGTTGTATAGTCCAAAAATTCATAGACCTTCGATATATAAAAAAAAATTAATTAAATTTGAAATAAAATGAAACTTGGTTAGTTTAAAAATTGTACAAACTTGTTAAGATTTCCAATATAATTAAGTTAATGAAATGGCATAAATTAACATGAATTTGAACGTAAATTAAGTGGAATAACAAGGGTAATTTCAGCACCGACCCAATAGTTTTTAGTTGGGAAGCATAACAACCTACATCGTAAGCCATTATATATATATATATATATATATATATATATATATCATCGTCATCATCACAGCAAGATCATTTTATAGAATTTAATAGTGTGATAATTCATGTATTCAATGATGAAACGAACAAAAACAAAAGAAAAATAGTATTTTAGAGGAAAAGTATAATGAAAGTTGCAAGGGGCTCACACTTTCTAACACTTTGGACTTAAGCTCCTTCACTGTCACTTGCAAACAAAAGGTCTGGCATGAGATATTATATGGGACTTAATATTTTTATCTACCGCGATTATTTAAAGCTCAATCACAAGCCACCTTTGCACCGCCAAGAGCTTACCACAATTTAGAATCCATGAATGGGAAATAAAGTATAGGAAGAAAGGATAGACATATACATGCGTGACCACACACTTTGTTGTCTGTGTGGATCGAACCATAATGATTGGTCCAACAAGTTCAAATGCCTTCAATTTATGGCCTCACACTTTTTTTTTTTTTTCCTTTAGAACGGAGTTGAGTTGTCTGGAACAAGTGACAAAAGAAAAAAAATATATAGTATTATATAGACACACACCAGCTGCACAAGCAAAAAAAAAAAAAAAAAAATCCGAAGGAAAAGGAAATTATGGATTATAGAAAACGTAGAAATATTTTCAACGGTTATCCATACACGCTCTGATTATGCTTACCATTCTCCCCAAAAGAAGAGTGTGATACACGAAATTATCTTTATTCGTAATAATGATAAACTTTGTAATTTTAGTCAATTTTTTATCTTAATTATCTTTATTCGTGTATTATTTGTTAAAAATATTCCTTACAGACAGCTTTAATCCTTAAAGATTATGCACAATTTTTCCCTAAATATTTATCCAGAGGGAAATGACTTGAAAGTTGGAGTATCTTATTTGGACTAATTAACCAAAAGGAGAGTTAAGCAAATTAATCGAAGCAACAACTCAGGGAGTATTTGGTATGCTGCAGAATCATAAATGGAGCATGTATGTGACCGAAAATGAAAAAATTTCGTAATATGTTTTTATTGGTATTTGATTTATTGTAGAAAATTCGTGAGGGATGCAAATAAGTTTACCATTTTACCTTTAAAATTTAAAAGATCTAATTTGACAATAAAATATTCATCTTTTTTTTAATATAAACATTTGTATTGATTTGTATCTAAAACTAGTATATTCAAATGAATGAACAGTAAATTTAATTTTATAAATTATTATTATCGAGTAAAATAGTATACCAATAAATTACTTAACGAAAATAACATATTGATTCTTTTGGTACTAAATTAATGTCATCAAAAGGCATATTGATTGTTTAAATTTATAATCTAGTATGCACTATTATTTTAAAACATTTGTGTAACTATTTGTGAAAAAAAGAAGGGTATATTAGATAATCTAATATAAAAGATGGAGGCATTTAAGTAAAAATAATAATTACAATGTCAAAACCCTTGGCATATTTTTTTTTTTTATTCTAGAAGGAAACTAGCATTTTACTCGAATTACACTACGGATAGGACAAAAAGTATATTTCAAAATTTTATAATTTTTCATAAAAATTTTTATTTAATTATTTTTTTTATGTTTTTCATAAATGTTATACTTAAAAAAACATGCTACATTCTTCTTTATGCATTTATTCTTAAGTTAAAACTTGTAATGATTTAAAATTAAATAGTAACCAAGAATAAAAAAATAAAATATATTTTTCACATGTATTTCAATTATTTACAGATTTGATATTGAATAAGAAAAAAAATCCTTAGCCGAGAGGTGGCGACCGTGCCCAACACCTATGGAGTCCTAAGGATCCCCCACTAGAGATTGGTTTCCCGATGGGGGAAACACCATCAAATTAGCATTACATCCTTTTGCTTTCTCTCTATTACCTTCGTTAGCTAAGCCAAAACTAGTTTTAGTTTTGTCCACGAATACCACAACCCTACACATAAAAACCATTGCCACACAACAAACAAATAGACCTTCATTCTCCTATGTAGCATCTATATTAAACAAGCTCGTTTATCAACACAACTTCCCCTCCTTTACTATATCTCCTAGACCACCATCTATACATGAAGAGATCCAACGAATAGAATTTTCATAAGCAGATTTGCAGCGAATCAAAAAAATTATTTGAATACACATTGATAAGTGAAATTCTTACGAGGTAGGCTAACCATCAATACGATCGTAAATCACATTCATCAAGCACCGGGCTTGAAGGAAGATCCAATCGTAGGCTCGACGGATATGAGACATGTATTAATCGAGTTATCGTCACGGAAAGACTTTGTTAAAACTTGGTCTACGAAAGCCGAATCATAGAAAACTCCCTCTTTCGAATGTCCAAATGGGATATGCATTTCTCCACAAGGTATGAGTCTAAAAGGGCAACGAGTATGGATTAGACTACCAGTGTCTACCGACATCCTTCTTTCCATCAACTTTTTTGAAGAAAATCGTTAAACCCTTTGGTATCTTCATTCGACCAAATGATCAAACTTTGAACGGCTCCCACCCTATTCATGCAAGGGTATTCTTAGAGGTGGATTTGACAGAGGTAAT